TATGTATGTATGTATGTATGTATGTATGTATGTATGTATGTATGTATATTTCTTTAGTTTATTTTGAATAGTTTATTTTTCAATAATTGTTTTCCGTCTCTCCAAACACAGGATGGTGATCAAAGACTTCAGAGCCAAGCTGCAGCTAAAGGCCAATTTTCTTACGGCTCCGTGCTCTTAAACATCGGAAAGTGTTTTCTCCTCCTCCTCATAATTCCTCCTTTCCTCAACTATGCCTCGCTGCAGAAAGAAGCACAGATGCTTTTACCCAAAGGTCCTGAACAGTGTTGCCTTAAGAACAGTTTTATTTTTACCGTGTTTCTTAAGCGTCGATTGGTCAACGAAGTTCTGAATGAGAAGCAGTGAGCAAAGCCTAATTTTTCTTTCTGTTGTTTTCTCCTTACATCCAGATGGCCTCATTGTTGATGTCGGTTTGGGGCAAAAGATGCATTTACTGTGTAAAGGACGAGGAAGACCTGTTGGTAATCAACAATTTCCTTTTTTTTAGGTTACATTTTTTTGTGTTTGGTTTTTGTCCAATCGATCTCTGACCTGTTTGTTTTTCTTTAGTCATACTGGATGCACCAACTGGAATGTCATCAGAAATTTGGCTTCATGTCCAAGACAGTCTTTCCTCCTTAACAAAGGTTGGGTATCGATTTTTTTTAAAACTCTTTTTGTCAATAGAATTAAACAAAAATATAAGACAGAGGCAGAACTGAGATTAAGAGAGCTGAGCTAAAGCATTGTGGTGCTATTGGCATGGGTCATGCGGGGACAGTCTCTCCTGTTGCTTTGTCACATTCTCTCCGATCAACAACTCAGCAGAGAGCTAAAACTGACAGCCTGCCTCCAGTTGTTTGTCTAAAGTGGTGACCTAAATTAGGTCGCTGGCTTGTTGGAGAGGCCTAGATATATTTGAGTAACTGAACTATAGAAGCGGCAACACACTCAAAAGAAAAAACGAGCACAGTGTGTTGCTGAATATTGCATTTCTGTCATTTTAGGGGTACTCAGCCATAATGTATTAAAGTGCTTAGACTGGATAAGAAAGTTAGGCAGAAATGATTGTGTACTTGGAGGATGCCTCTATTAAAAACTCTATTTCTTACCTCTTTGTTGCATTGTCCAGGTTTGTACCTATGACAGGATGGGACTGGGCTTCAGCAAGCGACTGATGCCGAATGAAACCACAGGAACAGAGAAGGTGTGGGGAGTGTCCACAACTGGACGGTGGGTATGCACCATGAGCAGTTCTGTAATGCTTCCTCCTGTTACTACACTTATGCTGCTTTTCACATCTGGGGCACAGAGATACATAGAAAGGCTGTGAAAAGCTGAGATTCACTGACGACAGAGCCATGTGTAGAATGGTTCACCAGAGCATTGCAGCCCAGAGAGGCACAAGTTTTGTGTTCCATCTGCTGCGTATTGTAGTTACTGGATGTGCCGTATATTAGAATCAGAATCAGAAATACTTTAATAATCCCAGAGGGAAATTATTTAACAGTATTTGCAACCATAGCAAACGTAAAGGTCTTCTAGGTGCGATTTTAAGTGCATCCACTACACATTTCCAGAGGCCAGTTGCAGCTGAAATTGGATGGAAAACGAAATAAGTGAGTGAAACATTCTTTTGAAGCACTTCTGCTTTTGATTTGGTGAAAAGACTGCACAGCAGATTGAAAATAGTACATTACTGAAAGGCACAATCTCGGTTATGAAGGACAAACACAGGGCCACTAGTGATAGAGGCATTCCTTAAAGAGGAAATGCTGCTTTTTTTTCTGCACAGGTGCAGAAGGTGAATTTTGCCCTTAATAGTACTCTCGAAACTAGCACCAAATATTGGAATGTTATTTTCTGTATAGCATGTCATGTCATCATCAAAATATTCAACATTTCATTAAATGTATTTTCTTCATATTATGCAACCCTACTGTTTTGTGCTCAAGGTTTAAAAAAGAGAAAAAAAAAACAAAAGCAGTGGGATCCCTTTAGTAGCAGCATAGCATGTATAAAAATATAACAACTGATTCTCACGAAAAATTTAAAGCTGCTGGAAGATAGCAAAGAACTGTCACTGAACTGCTTTACTTATTTTTGAATGGAAATTAATACGGGAGAAGGTCAAACTGAGACCTGGAGGCCCAAAGAGACCTTCTGATAACTCTAGGATTGTTTGAAAAGCAACCCAAATTCTAGTTTCTACAACAAAAGACCTAGAGGGTTCAAGCTTCGTCTTACATTGTTGTACTCTGCAGCACCTCCTGTGCAGTTATGAACTCATCAGGAGAATGCTTCCACTACATTCTGACTACAAAGATCAGCTTCCTGCGTGTGCAGACGTATAAACCGATCTAATACAGTAGATCCATTAAAAAACTGTTCATTGAGTAGTGTAAAAGTTCTAATAAAAAAACTATCGAACTTTATAAATGAACATTTTCATGCATTCACTGCTGTGGTAAAGAATCTTTAATTGGCCCAAGGAACAGTTTCCTCACTCACCCAACCTGAAAAAAACCCAACAAAAAAACAAAATCTATCTCTTTTGAAGTGTGAAATTTCAATGATTTGTTCTGGCAGGTTATATAAATCTTAGAGGAGGAGCGTTTCCCAAAATAAGGCAGGAAGAATGATAAACGAACAGAAAGAAAAGTTAAACAAAAAGATTTGTCACTGTTTATTGGCGAGGGGTCCTTTTTCCAAGTTATATTTTGTAATGTGAAAGCAAAAGCAATCATAATTGGAATTAAACAAAGTGGGCGCTTTAACTTTATGCTATTTGTTTGTTTGATTTGTTTCAAATTTGATTTGCTGCTTTATCCAGAAAGGTAGGCCAGAAACTATTTAACTATTATTTTCCAATGTTTCATTTGCTAGTTTATGACTGAATACTTATCCAGAAAGGGAGGAAATCTAATGTTTAAAATTGGCCTCTACGAAATGCTCAGTTGGGTCCTTTTCCGTCGGGCTATAAGGTAACATCCAAAATTGAACTTTTGAAATTTGCTTTTGTCATTTTGAGGCTAAAGCCAGTTGAAGCTTCCTCTCATAGATGTTATTTTCGTTTGTTTTATATGCAAAGCAGAACCGGTTAAGGTTATTTAAAGAATTAAACAAAAACTTTTCCATTTTGGACCTCTCTATAGAAGCAATCAAATATGTAACAATAAAACAGTCAAATTCCTGTATTTTATTAGCTTATTATAGAGAAAATACATAGTACAAATTTGCTAGTTGTTTGTTGGAACCGTTTCTTGTCTGAATAAGGAAACAGAAATACCACATTTACCACTGATCTGTGCTGTGATGCCTTCGCTGAGCACATTAGTGATGTTCTGCCCTTCCCCACATTGTTGTAGGACGCAGCCTCAGTTTTCCTTTTTTTCCATCATCATAATGCAAATCTGCCTGAGGGACGAGCAGGCGTGGCTAGCCGACGGTCAGCAGTCTAGTTACCTTGGCATCTGACCCTCAAAGCTGTTACTGGTCAGCTTGAGATGAAAGCAATCAATGTTTTTTTCCAGAATTCAATTTTCGAAAAGAGCGCGACGACTAGGTAACCGCAACCCTGTGAGCCCTCTGAAATCTCCTCATTCCAGCGTGACACCTCAGGTTTGATTTATTAGCACAACAAGTCCAGAACAGCAGATGGCTCTCAGAGCGGAGCCGCTGCCCCTCGTGTAACCACGATGCCCTCCCTGATGATACGAGTCTGCTGCTGATTTATTTATTTGTCTTGCTGAGTTTTGGTATCGAAAATGCAGCAGTCAAATCAGTTTTGGTTACACCTCTGGAAAATGACTAAACTCAAAAGACTGGATTCTTTCGTTTTTAGTTCAGGCTAATCAGTAGCTAACTTGTTTCAGAGCAGATTAGAAATCAAAGGTTTTAATGGCATCGTGTCATCTAGGATGGTGGACGATCTGCACCGGCTCCTGCAGGCCGCAGGACTGGCCACGCCCTTCATCCTGGTGGGCTCTGAACTGGGAGCGCTCAACGGCAGGTTCTACAGCCACATTCACGACGTGTAAGTGTTCTGAAGTGTAATTAAGTTCATGTTTTTACAACAAGCGTGCAGCGAATTCCACCAATGAAGGCAAATTTTTTCCACTACAGTTGAGCTCATAAGGGGAAAACGGTGAACACTAACTACATTCTGAAAAATTCTGAAACATTCTGCTTTTCTGAGTGAATGCGAAACAGCAAAACTTTCACAGCTCTAGTTCTTCAAGAACTAAGATGTTTTGCAACACTTAATAAAAACTGGAAAAAGCACATGTTTACCAATGCGTAGCATCCTCTTTGTCTCACTGTCCATCAAGGTCGACCCCTCAGGAGACTAGTTGATGGACCTTCCTCTTCATCACTGGTATCATTCTAATACAAAGTCATGCAGTTGTGTGCTGTTTAGCATTGTCTTGCTGAGACATGCATGGTACTCTCTGAAAAAGATGTTGTCTTAATTGGCTGAACGGTCCTTATCTTCAATTTGAAAGAGGCTGCATCCATGATAACCCAAAAAAACATTTTAAATTCTTAGTTGCACTTTTACCTCAATCAGTTTTAGATGAACTTTGTCAATAACCCTGTGAGATTCTTGAGCAGATGGCTTTTTGACTTAGTTCCACCTCAGGCTCCAAAGTTCTGGGACATCTGATGTTGATATCCTTCCATTTCTTTGTACACATAAGCATTTCCAGAGTCTGTCTTCATAATCTGGAATTAAAGATGATGTTTTTCTGCAGATTGCTTAACCTCTTCTCATCTTTGTTTTGGTAAGACACTTCCTCTCCAACATGCTGAGAGAACAGACTTTAAAAAAGCTCTGCTTGTGGACAAGTCTCTTCATGGTCTCTGGCCAAAGTACATCTCTGACATGTTATAGGCAGATGAACCAGCTCAGACTCTCAGAGCCTCAGTTAGTGGTCTCCTGCTGGTGCCCAGAGTCAGGACCAAACCAGGTGAAACTGCGTTTCACTTTTATGCTCCTAAAATCTTTCTGGAGAACTGAGACAGGCCTCAACCCTGACAATGTTTAAATCCAGGTCCTATTTAGCCGTGCATATGGAAACTGAAGGTATTTGATCTGCGCTCTGCACTTTTAATCTATTTAATCAATGATTTGTATTTGTTTAATTTGGTTTATTCTTAATGTCTGCTTTAAACTCTCACTCTTTAGTGAAAATCGATCTTGTAGCCTTGTAAAGCACTTTGAATGGTCTTGTTCATGAATTGTGCTATACAAATAAATTTACCTTGCCTTTTTACTCTCAAGTCATATTAGTAACCTAACCAATCAATGGTGGTCTTCAATAGAATCAACCAAATCTTATTTTAATTTGGATTTAATTTACAACCCAATGATCCTGGAACTGAGGAATTCATCAAGAAACATGAAACTCTGTAAAGAGTCAGCTCAACAGCAGTAACTTTAAATCTATTTTGCCTTAGCGAAAAGTAAAGCTTGATTTTTCTGTTCAATCGTTCCCCATCTAAAAGGCTGAAATGCCCCATTATCTGTTCCTCATACTGCCATTAGCTTCTTCTGAGCTGTTCCAAACTGGAACCAGAGCTAATTTACAAATCACTTAACGACTTAAATCACTTTTTCATCCAGTGGAACTAACTGCAATTCATGTTAATTAATATGAGGACAGGACGATGACTGCGAAGAGATTTTAGTTATTGTTTTCTTTCCTTATTTGAACCTTGAACCTTGATAATAAAGTAAGACTTTCCTTATATTCTATTACTCATTATGAAATGGCAACCACCGTGCCACCCATTCTGTTAAACTGCAACACTAAATCATTATCAAAGTACTTGCCTTTGTGTACAATCCCATAAGAAATGATATGATTTCAGTCGAAAATTCACTAATGGAAAATGTACTATGATCTGTAAATATGTCAGTTATACTCAATGGAGCAACAACACAGAAGTAATAAGCCTTTGATTATGCTTTGTCTTCACTTACTTTTTCTGTTTGCAAATCCAATGACGGGGCATAATAAGCAGTGTGTTCTTCCTCTTTAAAGTACAAGCAAGTTTGTCTGTTCCTCAGGCAAACATAAATGAAGGCAAATATGTAGCCGCGCCATGTTGGGATTTGCCATACAAAAAAATGCATCCCAGTGGCTCGCTTTATAAGTAAAACCCACGGCGCACAGAAGTGGAACAAAATGTGAAAAGAATACAAAATGTTTCCATATCCATAAGTGTAGATTTATAGGAGTCCATCTCCACAACTCCGCTAATTTAGTTTTTTCTTGTTGTCATTTCTAGTGTCTCAAAACCAATCAACAGATAGGAAAGAGAAAGAATTCATGACACATCTGATATTTTCTGTCCCCTAACACACATAGAGCCACAATAAGGAAACAGACAACCACACTATACTTACTTATACTCTAGATTTGTCATAATACACACACTCAGTCTTCATGTTCCTACCTCCTCTGTCCCTCTCCATCATACATCCCCCTCTATTCTTTTCATTCATTTTTGTTTTTGCTACAGTGAGGTAATACCTTAAGAGGATCTTATATTGTGGAACTTTCCTCTTGCCCCCATTTGTGCATCCACAGAGAGCCAGAATATTCAGCTCTGACTTCTATGTGAACAATTTATTTGCCTATAGAATTTTAAAGATGTGGAGCATTGCTTTGGCATGCTCTGATAAGATGTTTTAATCTTTTCTCAATGCATTTTTGGATATTTATGCACATCAGGTTTTGCCATTGTTTAATACTAGAGCGAGAGGATTATTTGTGTTATATTGACTCAAAATAAACTGGCATCAGTGGCATTAAAGAAATGCATCCTGTCTTTGTTTCTGACTTTTTTTTTTTTTTTTAAAGAAACTGACAGCTCTTAAAATATCTTAACTGCATATGCTGTATTTGGTCATTCAAATTCACACTGACAATAAGATCTGTTCCCATGTCCCTTCCATCCAGCATAACTCACACGCCCCTGAGACAACTCAGTGATTAACCTGACAAGTCGCCAGCACCAGTGATGACGGATTTAGTGTTTGATTTGGCTGTTGTCGGGAGAGAAAATTAAATGTTGGTGTGTTGTGACACCTTTCCACTGGAAATATTACCTCTGGATCTGCTGTGTGTGTGTGTGGTCTCACAGGACAAATCTACAGAGAGACAGCAAGGGAGACACTATCCATCCTACATTCATTATGACTCAGGCCGGGAAGGTTAAGAAGAGAGAGAGTCAATGAGGTTAACTTTAATCCAAGTGTGTGCCTGTGTCCTATTTGTCCCCAGGCAAGTGTCGGACCTTGTGCTGATTGATCCCATCCCAGAGGACGTTTTTGAAGAGGACCAGTGGAAGGAGTACTGGTGAGTTTCTTAAAAGGCCTTTGAGTCGTGAGAGGAGCACAAATGCAGCAAAAAGATTGGGTTTGAGGTTGCTTAGGATGAAAAGAGAGAGAAGATGGAATGATGGTCAAAAGAGGCAAAAAAGCTCTGATGGGATGTAGAAATGCGGAGTGGGGAAAAAAGGGGGAGACGAGAAGCTCAGAAGAGGAGCGAGAGGGATGATAAGGAGCTCCGAATGGAGGAGAGGAGCACAAAAAGTGAGTGGCAGGGAAAAAGAGAACAGAAGAACAGAGTGAAATGTATCAAGGAGAAGAGGATAACGATAGGTAGAACGCACTCAGAGTTGCCGGCATGTTTCATGAGTCAAGCTGAATATTCTCCTTTTATCGGCCTCGATTGTGAGAACTTGTGATCCTCTCTGCTGGGTGGGGCTCATTAGCATGATTAATTGGCCAAGGAAAGCCATTAGTTGTCCACTGGCGTGAGATAGATGAGGAGTGAGCAAGGCTTGTGACAGTGGTCGGAACTGGGTCCCGGAAAGTGTAACAACACTGCTTTAATCCTCCACCCGAGATGGACGTCAAGTGGCAAGTCATTGTCAAGGCATACATCTCGGTACGCATTAATTATCAAATATGAAGGGGGAGGACTGTTGATAGAAGTGTCAATTATGCAACGCTAACAGTAATTGACATTGTTAACAAGTACAGAGAGTTTTTTTTCACTGAGGAGCAGATTTGAATAAATCGGTTGAACGATCGAGCAAAACATCCCAAGCTTTTAGAAATAACAGGCCGCTGAACACTTAGTACAACTGTATTTCACAGCAATAGTTGTAGACTTTCTAACACATTATTGAGTATTATTTAACGTGTACATGCTTAACCTCACAGCACGAAGGCCATTAGTCATTATAAAGTCATTATAAATATGCTGAGAACAGGCTCCAGGCCTTCAGAGCTCTGAGTTGGTTGGTGGAATGAATGGTTTAGTGTTTTGCATTAGCATTTTAGCCTTGTCACTGTAAAGATGTCAGAGAACCACCATTAGCATTAAGCTAAAAATTGTGCTGATGGGCAGTTTTTCTGTTGACCCACATCCTTTTACATTTCCTTTTGCAACCAGACTGCTCTTTTTCCCCTCCAAATCAGGTGTTCAACACCAAAATGTATGCCTAGTAATGCATTTTTCCCATCACAATTTAGTTTTCTTTGATTATAGTAAAGTGAAAATCTGTTTTTAAGCCAAGTTTAATTGTTCAGGTTTGCCACATGAAACTTTGATAAGCATATAACTGCTTACAGACAAAAGTTGAATAGCAGCATGAGAGAAAGTTCTATGTTGCATATTGATCCAGCCCGAACTGCTACTTAATTTGACATAATTCATATCTTGTGTCCTGCATTTTATTAGTTCATATAACAAATTCGTATGAAAAAGTAGCAACATACCTTGCATACATTTGCATTGGGGAATTGTGAAAATTTGTAGTTTCTTTTGTTTCATTTTTCAAAAGGTCACTAATGTATGTTCTGAAATGTGATGCAGTTTTAAAATTGGACTGTTGCCCCTCCATTAATATAATGTCCTGTCACTTTTGACCTTTATTTTCAGCAGATTTTACTCTTCTTTTCGCTGCTTAAGTCTTTTTATCTCAAATTTCCTCTGTCTGTAAGATTGTATTTGTCACATTGTATTTGTAGCTTGTAGAAACAGAACGATTATTTGTGCCGTTCTTCTAAAACAATGCCAATTATCCCGATGCGGAGCCACCTACAGTGTGTATTTACACCTGTTTAAGTCACTACTAAGTTATATTGTTATACAAATGCCACCATGTCTGATGTTTTTAATGATGGCAATGCTGTTTCTGACATTAAAGCAACGCTCTCAGTTGCAGTCAGACTAATAGAAAGTAGGATGTGTCTAGATAGTGTTTGGATTAGTTATTATTTCTTTGTTAAGCAGCAATTCCGGGTTTCCAAAGAAATCAGTCCAAAGGTAATTTAGTAGAGAAAATTGGGGATAGTCTTAATTTTTTCAAGCGACTTATCAAAATGAGTTGAAAACATATCGTCCTGCTCTGTGGAATTAAGTATAAATGAAATGATCATTGCTTTATTGTTAATCTGTGATTAATATAGATCGCTCTGTAGAAGTTAATGAACGTCCAGATCTGAGAGAAGGGAGCATAGTAAGAAAGTGGGTAACAGCAGTGATAATGGAGTCATGCCCATGAGGATGTTTCCCATCTTTAGGCCAATATTAGCTTGCAGCTTATATAAGCATGAGTCAAGCCTGATAAGAAATGGATCCCTGAAAATGGCCTAATTTGTACGTGATTCAAAGTGGAGCAGCACCATTTATCAGGGGTGTGTGTCCAATTATCGTCTGATTAATAGGCATTCATTTAACGGAGTACATGACAGTGCAGCCAATCCAATTACTCTGCGGAGAAGCGCTGCAAAAATGAAATGAACCAACGACTTTTATTAAGTCAGTAAAAAAAAAACAGTTTTATCATCTGCGCTTAATTTCATGAGAAGTAGAAATGGAGAAACGGATGTTTTACAGTGTTCAGCATGTACAGTCCCATACATCAGAGCATCTCAGCTGAATTAGCATACTTCAGCTTTCTTTTTTGTCTTATGTTGCACTTTTTGTTGTAACGGGTTGCATGTGGGTGGATGTTTTCCCCCTCTTAGGAATGCGTTTATTAGTTGTCGAAGGTCTCGCAGCCTTTGGCACACAAGCTATGTGATGCAGGGGGGAGCGGAGCTGCACCTGAGCAGGGTTGTGGAGAGACGGTATCTGTTTTGCACTGGGACCGGAGGATTTACACATCAAAGACCGGCTCATTAACCGAGGCTCACTCCCAAAATTAGTTCTTTCACATCCCTCAAATGAATCGGCACCATCTCCTGAGAGTGGTGTGTGTGTGCGTCTGTGTGCAGGTGTTCGCTTGTGCTCCCCTGTTGTAAACGGTGAGCTCAGTTTTTGGGGGATTTTTCCCTCGACAGACACGGCAGCGTGAGCTCCAGTGGTTGGAGGAAGTTGCTCTGTCAGGTTTGTTTTTTTAACCAAAATGAGTGACAGAGATTAAGAGCGAGATTATATTTCTTGACTTAATACTTACCGTCACTGTTAGCAAATGCAGCATCTTTTTTTTTTTTTTAAACATTTGATCATTTTGTCTCATTGCCGTGACATATTTGATAACAGATGACACATCAAACCTGTTTACAAACCTGTTTATAAGAAACGATCAGCTCTGCTTATGGTGAAATAGCAAAAGACCTCTTAAAACTGTTATGCAGATTTCAAACAAAGATTTTGTAAATTACAGTTTAGATTTCTCTCACATACAAATCAACTCTTCATGTGCGGTTACCAGATAGAAAATTTGTTTTTCAGCACAATACCCGATTCCTGTGAGATGCATCCTCCATCCTCTGGGCTTTGTAAATCTAAGATATAATAAATCATATTTGTACTTAGAAACTGAATAGTTTTAGCTGTATTTGTAGCTGGTTGACTAATAAGCTAAAACACAAATGAGTTGTATTGCAGTAATGGCTCATGTGATACCGCCCAAAACTAAAATTAGTCTTCCACTCTTTGCGGATTATGTAAAAAAGTATCTATAATCTGATAACAAAACTTCCCCCAAAGTGCTTCTGAAGCCTTTCGTAGATGGATTGGAACATGTTGGAGGGTTATGTAAACTGATGTTAAATCTGTGGTCACATGTAGCCGTCCAACATGGTGTCCCACTAAGATAAATGAGAGTAGATAAACTTTAAAATAAGAGTGAACTCTGGGGTCACTGCTACTTGTATTTCAATGGTAAATCCTTTACAGCCCAGAGTGGGAACGTGATTTAGTTTGCAATATTTTCATTGTGGTTCCAATATAGGCGATAGTGATGAGTGATCCTGTTATGGTCCCACTTTGTACATTGATTTTGCTGTCATGTGTTAGTTTAACTTTACTGTTATACAGTAAATGTGCTAACTGTATAAGACTTTATGTTTTTGAATGATCAACTTTGAATCAAATTTTCACCATGTTCTCTTATGTTCACGGTTTTATGTTGAGGGTCTAATAGCGTAAGTTTTCATGTTTCAGTCAAGGCCGTAACATTGTTTTAATATTGTGTATTGCTGTGCTAATTTTTGAAAGGATCAGTTTGCTCTGACTGCTCTAAAATATCAGCCTCTGTAAAAAAGCTGCCCATTTTGTGCTGGACAATATTCCAGAGAAGCCCACAGGCAGACATACGCAGTGAGCATAAGTCACCCGGGTGTGTTAACTTCTGCCCAAGCATATTCAGGCCTTCTGGGTTATTTTTTCCTACCTCTCGAAAAGTAATATTGTGTTTTTACTCTTTTAGCTGCATTGCATACAGTTAATTGATTCAGGTGTTTCAAACCGTGCTGAGTTTGTTTATTAATCATTAGTGACAGGATTTGACCGATATGATTCTTCTTTGTTTGGTCTGTCGCTGCCTGGCTTTGCCTGTCGAGGCCGTGAACAGGTGCCTGCCAGCTGTCCGCTCATATCAAGTTGCAGATGAAACGGCAAACAGCAGGATATAAATTAATGTGTGGACATTTCTGTTCCATTCCTGTCAGGGCCGATGATGACTTTGGATTTCCATATACGCTGTATGTGTTAGACTCTATTTTTGGGTATTCATAATCTTGCCATTTTGGCCTGGCAGAGGATTCTCGCATTCCATTTTCTGACGCATCCTCTACGTGCATTACAGTTTTTCAGCCATTAACCAAATCAGTCATTTTGCTGAAAAGCTCCTGAAAGCTCTTTAAAAGTTGTAAATATTATGAAATGGAAAATGTTTGTGGTAGATGCAGACATGTTTAGCACCATATTTGACAGAATATCAGTTATAACTAAGAAAAATAACATCCTTTACATCATCACAGCTCAGTTATGCTCAAATGTTTCCACCCCTTTTGGAAAATAACATTTTCTATCCAATCTATGGTAACAACCAGGCC